CTTGTATAGCCAAGTATAGCTAGCGTGTTAATATTTGCGAATGCCTCCTAAGTCAAGGGTAAAATAGTGTGGCAAACGGCGTTTGAGTCTCGAGTTTATTTGCCACGAGCGGAGCACAGCGGAGTGAGTGTTTAATAAAAGTGACTTAAAAAGTTTACCTAACTATACATACTATACTTTTTCAACAACCGTTGGTTTTTGGGTATATTTTTGAAGAACAATACAAATACATTCACTGATATGACCGTCAGAATTGACAAACGTCAAAATTCAAGGAGTGGGAAATATACCCGAAAACGTCCGATTGCTCGCAAACCCGTGTGGTGAAATCTCGGAAACGTCCGAAGTGGCGCGGATCTGTGAGAAACGAAACTGACGTGGTAAAGTGACGCTTCCTGCACGCTTGATCGGTGTGTAATAAGGCATTTTACAGACGGGAGTAGAAAAAAGAATTTTGTAATTTTAGAACTCTGTACTTATCGCAGGATGTTAAGCAGGCTCCTTAGACATCATAATATGTTATTTGGAATAAGACTAATGCATCGCAAAATAACGATTTAATTTTAAATTATAACACTTTTTTCTAAACAATTTTTAATATGTGGAGTAAAGCCTAATTTTAAAACAATAAGAATAAATGTTTTATTTGTTCATTAAAATATATTCGTTCGCCATCTATCCATAATGAATTAATGAATTACTTGAAGTCTGAATAAATTGCATTTTTTTTACTATTATGTTTTGTAAGCGTTGATCTTCAGACAGGCAGTGGTTCTTAAAAAAACAGTAACAGCATATGCAAGTTGTAATTTCTAGGAATAATTGCCTGACAAGCTTCGACATCGGTTGTTGTTTTCTTCTTCTTCAGAGCTTAACTGACACTGGTTTGCATTCTACTCTGTACCTGCTTATATATTGCTTTTTAATTATGCTAACTCCGCAAGGAGCATTGCTTTTCTAACCTATTCTCTAGTAAAATATGTAGCATCTATATTAAAATCCTTTCCAGGGAAAACTGATAGTTTCGTACTTAAATTAATAACTGTTCAATTAGATCCAAACTTCAATCTAGTTATATTTGACGTAGAAACAATTCCTGAAGCTCTCACTATTATTTCAGATACATTAAAATCTGAGAATTTGGATTGAAACCTTCACGTCTTAATTGAAAAAATATTTGAATGTAAAATAATTTTTTGTCGGTCAAATTTGTGTATATAATTATTAAACAAATATTGTCAGTTATCGAAAATATATTTTTCTATTCCCTTCTGCAAAATACCTAATTACACACCGATCTAGCGTGCGGGAAGCGTCACTTTATCGCGTCAGTTTCGTTTCCCACGAATCCGAACCACTTCGGACATTTCCGGGATTTTACCGCACGGATTTGGGAGCAATCGGATGTTTTGGAAATATTTCCCACGCTTTGAATTTTGTCGTTTGTCTATTCTGACGATCATGTCAGTGAATGTATTTGTGTCGTTTTGAGAAAATGTACCCAAAAACTAACGGTCGTAGAAAAAGTATAGTATGCAACACGTTCGGTAAACTTTTTAACTCAGTCGTTTATTGAAAATTCGTGAGTCAAATGGCATTTACCGCACTTGTTGCATAATATACTATGATTTAAGCTTTAGAGATAACCTTCGACGCTTACCGTCTAAAACCAAAATTATGGTCTCACTCTTAAAAAATATTACGACTTCCCTCGAAAAATTCAGATTTTTCAAGGAACCCAATTATATAGGCGTCATTCAGTTCAACATTCCAGAAATGGCGGACTGTTCTTGCATTAAAGCTACTAGCCGATGAAAGGTACGATTATATTAATATATAATATCTTGTTATATTTAGAGAGGAAAGAATATTAAGAAATAAGACTGTTGACAGACAAAAAATTTCATTTGGAATAATAATTTTAAAAGGCTCTAAAATTATTGATATTTTAAGGAGATTGGCTAGATTGTTAATAATTTTAGCCATGCCGGTAAGAAAGCTGACTTGGCAACAGAACGTTAAACATGCTCCATGGGCAAAATCAAAATGTGTCATTTGAAATAAAATCAACGATTCACAGTGTCAGGATTTGAGAGGTCTGGAAAACATTTGTCGAAGGTTAATTTTAGATCCAAACGCCATTTCTTAAAAAAATTATTTAAATGTGGAGTAAATACTAATTCTGTTTACTTTGCTACTGCAGAAATTTCTTGACTTGGTCGGTTCATCATTTTATTCCATGATGTGTTACATCCATTTTCCTATTGGTAATGTTGTAGTTGCTAGTAGACTGATAGTAAAATAAGTTAAAAATTATTAAGACTGTAATACTGTAATACGAGTATTCTTAACAAATCATCTGGATTGTACCTATCTGTAATTATTTGAAGAAGGCTCCACATTAAAGCCCTTTATGGAGCAAGCTGATGGTATCTCACTTAATTTATTTTATTTCATTCAACAATTTAAAAAAAACATTAGATTCAATCGTTCAATATGCAATCAGTCATCCTAGACAATGTTCATGTCCATCCATTGCTCCACCCTCCTCAAACACGATATGGTCAGGCATAGAGTACAATGCAAACCAGTTTCCGTTAAACTCTGGAGAAGCTGACTGAATATATTAGCGAAACGTCAGCAAGTACGATTTGTAAATAGTATTACAGTAGCCTGTTGTAGTTTTTTTGAAATAGAAACTGTAATAAGAAGTTGTTCGCTGTTCTCAAGTCGGTGTCTCTATTCCGGATTAACTTCATTCCTATAATAATAGGTAACATTTCCACTCTGTGCGCCATTTTGACCCTATAAGTGAAGCGATAGTCATCTCTTTCTCGAATTCGTGGCCACTCTTGCAGTCACGTTCATTTCCTATTTTTGACGCTCTACAAACAAGATTGCTAACGTTACTAGCTTATTTATCGTAAGCGTTTGTGTATTTGAATAATGCATCAAGGAAAAATGTTCTGCACGTGCCGCGAAACCCGAAAACTCTCTGGTAAATACGCGAAAATAAACCAGGGCCCAGTGTTTTTCGCACACATCTTGTAATGCTGTTGGTATTGTTATTTATATTTTAACGTGATGGCATTATTTTGACGGGCTGAGATAATGTTACCAGTTTTCAAAGGATTAATACATACGCAATTAGATATTTGGGTATTAAAAAGTGTCGATAAATTAGAAATTTTATTTGATATAGGTCGACAACATGTAAAGCTGCTATTTCTTTGCGCATAATCCATAAAATACAAGTGCATGTTTCTATAATAATAGCAAGTCAGAAATGCACTTTTATCATGTGATAACGGACGCTTACGCCATTACCGGTGCGTTTTTTAACCTTCATTTTACTTGTGTATTGTTTCTATGAGCAAATTTGCTTTGGTTTTGTCAAGATTAGAGTGATTTTAAAAATGAAAAAGTGTGTTACGACAATAAGCTGTAACGTCCATCGATCATTATGAAACTTCTGACTTGAGGCAAGTTTTGGTTAGTTTTGGTTAGTTAGTTAATATTCAATGTTGAAGTTTTTTAGATTCAAAGTTCAGAATGCAATTGATTTAAACGTGATGCGTTCTCTCACTTCATGCTTCCAAATATGATACAGACAACAAAATATGTTAAAACCCTTAAGTTTTAGGCAAAAAAAATTTTTTTTTAATAATGGTTTGTAAATGTATAAATAATAATAATAATAATAATAATAATAATAATAATAATAATAACAATAATAATAATAATAATAATAATAATAATAATAATAATAATAATAATAATAATAATAATAATAATAATAATAATAATATTAATTATAATAATAACAATAATAATACTCAAAAGAGCAATTTCTGAGGCAAAAAAAGTTGCATGGAAGAAAGTGATCGAGGAAGTAGACAAAGACATATGGGGAAGAGGGTACAAGATTGTTACCAACAAAATAAAATATCCACCATTAAATATGTCAGATGAAAAGCAATTACAAATTGCTAAGTCACTTTTTCCGACTCGGCCACTTCAAAAGTGGAACAAGGTAACAGTTCAACCTAGGGACATACCTCTGTTTACTGTCGAAGAAGTAAGAACTGCAGCTGGAAAAATAAAGGATAGCAAAGCCCCTGGACCGGACAATCTCGCTCCTGAAATTATAAAGACAATTGCGAAGGATTATATTGAGGAGTGCACAGACCTCATGAACAAAATATTGTGGAAGGGAGAATTTCCTAGAATATGGAAATTGGCGCGACTTATCCTTATAGAGAAACCAGGTCAGGATAAGAAGTATAGACCCATATGCTTAATCAATGTAGCTGGTAAACTACTGGAACATTTGCTCGTAAAACGTCTCAAGGAAGAAATTGAAAGGACTGGCGGACTGGCAGAAGAACAGCATGGGTTTCGGAAAAAGAGATCAACTATCAACGCTTTGAGAAGGATACGAGAAAAGGTAGACGACGTAAAACAGACACCGTGGGGAAGGAGGAAGTTATGTGCTCTTGTCACGGTAGACGTCGAAAACGCCTTCAACACGGCACCATGGTGTAGTATATTGGAAGAGCTTCGAAATCGAAACATAGCCCCTTATCTGTATAACATCATAGCAAGCTACTTCGAAGATAGGCGTTTAAGCATAGGTGAGGCAGCGCAAATGGACGTCACATGCGGAGTCCCGCAGGGATCAGTAATAGGTCCAACCCTGTGGAATCTGTGTTACAACGGTGTATTCCGAATTCCTGTTCCAAATGGCATTACCCTTGTCGGATATGCTGACGATCTGGCTATCTTAGCAGAAGTAAAAGGAGCCGAGATGATGGAAACAGTAGCCAACAATGACACGGATTGGATGAAATCTAAAAACCTGAAATTACCCCCCCAAAAAAACGGAGGCAGTCCTACTTGTTGCTGGAAGGAAAGTTAAAAACATTTCAGTCACAGTGGAAAACACAACAGTTCAGAGTCAGGAAGTAGTCAGATATCTAGGTCTAAAACTAGATAGAAACATGTCCATGGGGGCCCACATCAGAGCCGTAACAAAAAAGGCCAACAAGGCCTTGAACAGCATCAGTCGCCTTCTACCAAAAGTGAATGGGCCCCGTGAAAGCACCAGGAGGATATTATGCTCAGTAGTGACTTCAATACTACTATATGGCGCCTCAATATGGGAGCAAGCAGTTGAGAAGAAAGTCTATAAAAGGATTCTGAGTAGTGTTCAAAGGAGGGTAGCCATAAGAGTCTCCGAAGCATACAGAACAACTTCCAATAAGGCACTTATTATGGTGATAGCTAGGATCCCACCTATTAATCTTCTAGTTAAGTGCAGAGCCCGTATAGAGATAGATGGACCAGACGCTAAAACGGAAGCACAAAACACGATGATGTTATGCTGGCAAGAGGAATGGGACATGGGTACAGCGGAATGGAGTAAAAAGCTAATTCCAAATATAAGACCCTGGTTTGAGAGACGACACGGTGAAGTAGATTTCTTTCTTACACAAATACTCACCGGGCACGGGTGCTTTGAAGCCTACTTCAAACGTTTCAATCTGGCCGAAACCGAGGAGTGCCTTTATTGCATAAACGTGGTGAAGTAGATTTCTTTCTTACACAAATACTCACCGGGCACGGGTGCTTTGAAGCCTACTTCAAACGTTTCAATCTGGCCGAAACCGAGGAGTGCCTTTATTGCATAAACGTGGATACGGTTGAACACACTCTATTTTTCGGCCCAAGATGGAACATGCAGCGGGATATAGCAGAGCAAATACTCGGTCACATAAGCCCAGACAACCTAATAGAAAAAATGTTAGTCACCGACAAATTGGGACCACGTCTGCAAAATGGCAAAGCAGATACTTTCTGCCAAGAGGATAGAATGGCCAAATCTTATACAAGCTCGCTGAACCTTAGTCAATAGGAGACCGAAAGATCATAGGGAAGATCATAGGGCGCGTCCGGACGACACTCCATCTGAAGTAATGCTGACGCAGTTCCAGATGGAGGGCACACTGTTTTGTCGTCAAGAGAGGAAGTGTGAGTACGCTCACACTGGGTTTACACGGTCGGCTGTTGCCAACCCGTCGTCGCCAAGGGGACACACCATCCATCCCCAGGGTGTTGAGACGCCCAGAACGGTCTGAGGAACATTCGCCTTATAACCTCTCATACAAAAGAAATAACAATAATAATAATAATAATAAATAAACCAGTAAAAACTAGACATGCGAAATAACATCTGTGATGTCACATTATTCGAAAATTTTTGAGCATAGGTGAAGTAGGATAAGAAGAAGCGATCACTAAGCGAATTTTAATCCGCGCATAATTGCTACTGCGAGGATATATGCAGTAAATTGAATAGTGCAAGTAATTTAAGAGAAGATTTGACTATAATATCAATGTGTCGAACAAACGAAAGCTGTGAATCGAAAGTCACACGCAAATCTTTAATAGAGCTCTACATCTGAGAAAAGTAGTATTATTTAATTTGCGGGAAAATAAGAAAGTTTAAATATTTCGGGTGTATGATTTGAGATGTTGAGGGTAAGATTATTTTACTCACACCACTTATAAACATTAGAGAGTTGGTGTTGAAACGTGACAGCATCTTCGTAGGAACAAGTAGATCTATAAATTTTTAAATCGTCTGCAAATTGTTTTAAAAGTTACAGGTTACAAGTTATTTTAATTTTAGTTATATATAAAATTTAATTTTAATAAAATTTTTGTTCTAAGCAAAAAACCAATTCTATACAATAAACTCGTAGTTTTATATAAAATTTAATTTTAATAAAAATTTTTTTCTAAGCAAAAAACCAATTCTATACAATAAACTCGACAAACTGTTGATTTTTAATTGCAAAAACGTTACTAATGTTGCCATATTAGATGAATTTGGTGATCGTCATGGTCTAAGTCTAATCGAATTAGTTTCAACAAAAAGATATTCTAAAAAAAATAGAACTGGAAACCTCAACACGAAGGCCATATCATTAAAAATCAACAAATGTTAGTTTACTTTTTACAAAACTTCTGGATTCCTGCTGCGTCGGTTTTTGGTGAATCGAACTTGCTGACGTTTCGCCAATCAGCCTGTTGGCTTCTTTAGAGCTTGAGTTAAACTGGCTCTCATTTTACTCTGTACCTGCTTATATAATGTTTGAGGGGGGCAGAGTTAAATGGGGGGCATAAACACGGTCTCGGATGACTGATTCCCATATTCGTGACAGGTAGAGACCTGAGTCGAGGTTAAGATTGTTTGGTTGTTTATAGATTTCTATAGACTCGGATTTTTCGTTGGTAGAAGAATTGAAGAAGAATTAAGGTATCGGTCTGTGTGCGTAGGTTTTCTGTAAACACATTTTCTACTGATAGGAATACCTAAGAATGGAAGGTTATTATTAGTTTCCAACTCAATAGTAAAACGTATGTTAGGGTGTAGTGTGTTTAAATGTCTAAGAAAATCTACTAGGGTTTCTTGACCATGAGGGCAAATAACAAAAGTATCATCGACGTAGCGTTTCCGTAATTTTGGTTTTAGATGAAAGGTGTCGAGAGCTTTCTTCTCAAAGACTCCCATAAATATATTCGCGATGACTGGTGATAGGACAGAATCTATAGCGACGTTTGTCCAAAAACTTGACAGTTATTAGAAAAATATTTTTCAGACAAGCATTTTTCAATTAAAATGAGAAGAAGGTTTGGTTCCAGATTCTCGGACTTTATATATATCTGAAATGATGTTGAGAGCTTCAGGAATAGGAACTTTGGTAAAGAGGGATTCTACGTCGAAACTAACTGGAATATCGTGTGTATCTAATGTAATGCTTTTTACTTGTTCAATGAAGTGAAACGAATTAAGTACGAAACCGTCAGTGCTCCCTGTAAGGAAGCTAGATATTTTGCTAGAGAATATGTTTGAGAACCAATGGTGCTAACAATAGGTCGAAGGGGTAATCCTGGTTTGTGGATCTTTGAGAGTTCGTAGAGACGAGGAATTTTAGAGTCATGGGAGTGACAGATTTATTCACGGAGTCTGATAGAAAAGAAGCCTTAATAACATATTTAAGGTTGCGATCTATAGATGACGTAGGACGTTTTTTAAGTTGACGATATGATCCGTCTGTAAGAATATCTTCAATCTTTTCCTGACATTCATGTGTGTCCATGACCACCTTTATCTGCTTTTAGGATTTTGATATCTGGATTAGATTTTGTAGATTTTAGGGGAATGCGTTCAGGCTTTGCAATAATTTTTAAGGTTGCGGTTTTAAATCGAATTTTATTAGCTGTTTGAGATGGCAGTTTGTTTAGAATAGCCTTGACATTTGAAATGGTTTTCTCTTTTGGGATAAAACGTGGGGCAAGGACGAAGTTAAAACATTTTGAAAGAACTGATTTTTCCGTTTCCGAAAGTTGGTGCGATGATAAATTTATCATAGTGTTTGGTAGTTGAGAAGAGTTTGATGGTTTCACTATTGTTGATTTTAGTTTTTCAAATTTCTGAATGTGATTTTGGGTAGTAGATAAATGAGTATTTAAAGCTTTGTCATGAATCATGTTTGAAAGGTCTCGAACTCGGATGGGGACAAAATGGAAGAAATTTCAAGGTGTAGAGACAGAGGAGCCTTATTGATTTGGTCTATTTCTTTACGGGTATGATGAAATCTTTCTCGAAGTAAAGCGAAACTAGATTTTCGAAGAATTTTATTAGCCGATGAGGTTTTGACGTGATGAGCCATGTTAAGAAAATACGGGTCAACATTATGTTCCCTACAACGTAACAAAAAGTCAGTGTACAGAGTGTCCTCTCCATAAAGGCTTGGTAATTTTTCAAAGAAAAATTCACAGACTACTGTAATACTTTTTAGAAAACTTCTGGATTCCTCCATGATTGTCGAAACGTCACCAAGTTGGACTTAGGAAAAACCGACTCAGAAGGAATGCAGAAGTTTTGTAAAAAGTATTACAGTAGTCTGTGGAAGTTTCTTTGAAAAATTAAATGTTAGTTTTAATAATTATTAGTTACCTCAAATAGAAATAGATTTTAAACATATGGTTTTATTCAGCTCCTTCAAAATTTAACTTTTATACTAAATAAGCGAAGCGAAGGGGTATGGTGAAGTCTTCCCGAGCATTCTCCTAAAAACCAAGATATTCATAGAAGATACTTTTATTAACATTCCAAATTTACTATTTGTAAGCATTCTCCTAAAAACCAAGATATTCATAGAAGATACTTTTATTAACATTCCAAATTTACTATTTGTAAAATGATATTGAAATGAAATGTCATAATTATGATCTCGCACGTCAATCATTAATTTCCCCTAGCGAGAATTGTTTTCCCCCACCTTCGATGGTTACCATTACAACCATATACATTCATACAGTACACAACACACTGCAAGTTTATGGATGAATTATCTTGAACTTTACAATCTGGTTTCAATATCAATAAGAGGACTAAAAAAAATTAACAAAAAAATTATAGATTTCATATTTATAAATTCGTATGGATTGTTACCTAAAAGTCTCTTAAAACTCAGTTGTTGTTGGTTTATGAAAATTTTTTGAGAGGGCTAAATTTTGTTCAGAAAAACAGTTAAATAGAAAAGTTGCAGAGTTTCATCTAGATTCATTATTTTTTATATACAGTGTGTCCAAGACAAGGATGTTTATGGGATTATTTTTTTCTGGTATTATTTATTTGTATATTAACACAGTCAAATAAAGAATCTATTTATCTATGCATGTAGGCGTTTAGAGGAAATTTTTGCAATATTTACAATAAACAATACATACGTATCAGACAAAATGAGGTTTATCCGCTGCAGTTACGTCATAGCATGTTTATCTAGCTCATTGCTGGACGTCGTAAATCGACGTGGGAATTTTGTTTGTCAGTTCTGAAATCCGTATCAAAAGCTGTCTCAAAATCAAAGTTTTTAAATTTAGCGGATAATTAAATAGTTTCAAAAGGTCTCAACGATTGCTGTACGCAATGTTGGTATTTACTATCTCCATACTTGCAATCATCTGATTTTCATGAATGAGCAATTTCAGCTTCTGAAGGTTATTAATTAGATGCTTATTATCTCTTATTATGGCGTGTTGTCGATACAGTAAATCGGTGGACAGCCTTTATAAAGTACGCGAGCATAGCATACGGAGACGAATTTAGCAGCAGGTATGGAAAAAATTTGAAACTTTCCCTCCAAATGAGTAATATAATTGGTGGCACTGCATTTTAATAATTACTTTATAGGAGAACATATCGAAATCGATGGTATGGATTAAAGTGGCAGAAATTTTGTTGGAAAAAAAAAAGTATTTCAAGCTGTAAATATCTGATGGAAGAACTATTCACTGCTAATAAAGGACTGCTATTTTTGAGAGAATACATGAAACACCAGCCTTTTCATATAATCCAGTATTTTTGGACGAGACTCGGATATTTAGTAAAATAGCATCTAGAAAAGCTGGCAAGCCGATTCGAGGAATTCGCTATATAATTTTACATGCTGGCTTTAAAAATGACTTTGTGGAGTATTTTTAAATCGGGCTACAAATCGGGGGACCACCGTGATTCAATGAACACTGAAATTTTTGAAAGGTGATTTATATGTGTTTTTTATTTAAAAAGTAAACTTTCTTTAATCGATGAAGAGATAAAAGTTTTAGTTTTGTACACGCGAAAACTCGAAAACTAACTTATGTAGCTTTTTCAATTTTAAAAGTAGATCAGTCAATAGCTGCTGTCCAATCAAGTAAAGCTTCATTAATGCATTGTACCATAATCAAAGTTGGATTTAATTGAATTTAATGAAAGAGCAGATATGGTTGCCAGAAAAACTGCGTAGGTAGTTTCTATTTTTTTTTAACATGAAGTTATTTTAAAATATAATATTTTAACAAGGGACAAGTTGAAAAATGGCCATCGCGTTTTGCTGCTTCCGCGTTATCATTGCCAATGTAATACGATATAGATGGTTTGGTCAAATTGTAAACGGCATTATAATGCCAAAATAGGTTCCATCAATCCCGTAACATCCGATGCTATACTGCATTTATGGAATGAAGTAATAATGATGGAGTATTCATAACAGCTTGTTTCACGTTTTACCCGAAAAATGGAAGA